AGAGCAATGATACCGTTTTCCTTCTGTATCACTTCCTCCAGAACGACGCGTACTCGGTGTCTTTCGCCTCCCTTTTGACAAGTTCAACAGGAACATCGCCCGCAGCCGTGGAGTTGTGTGCCCACAGCGAGGCATACACGCCGGCGTAAAAAGCGGTGGGCATGGACTGGGGTCTGGCAGTACGAATTCGCTTCAGCAGTAAAACCTTCACCGTGGTGCCAGCTTCTGCTGGTTGCGCGACTGCGCTGTGCGGGGCGAACGGAAGCAGCAGCAGCAGCAGAATGAGGAGAAGGCACAGCGCCGCGGCAGGAGGCCGCAAGCCAAACTGCGCACAGCCGCCACGCCGCCCCCAACACACCGTCATGCCTGCTGCCTTGCGACTCTCTTGCTGTGTAGCCTGTGGGTTCCTTCGCCGGAGAACGAGAGGAAGAGGAGACCGCGGTGCACGGGAGGAAGAGCAGGAGAGGAGCGAGCGCCAGTGAAAGCGCACGGTGTCACACGCGCGGCCGCCAACGCACCCGGCGCACGCAAAAGCAACAAACGCAACGTGAGCAAAACTCGTGGGCAAATGGGCCTTTGGGAAACGAAGCGACCACAGCGCCCGTTCCGCCTCAGGAGCGGACGCCAAGAAGAACACGCACCGCCACACACCGCACACGTGCCCCTTCACGTCCGTCCGCCAATGTGAACCAGCGCTTGCGAAGCGTAACGCAGAGGGCCGCAAGAGTTAACGCACCCGCGTTCTGATGCCTTCCGCCCCCGCACGGCCCGCGGCCCTACCTTCCATTAATTCACCCATCGCCCCTGGGAGTGACGGATTGCCGCGCCCCCGCCAGCAGGTTGGTCTCCGTCGCGAACGCCTGCCCAGGCAACGCCGTTCTTTTCCTTTTTGTTCATGCTCGCAAATTCGCTTGGTGGCCAGCACGCCCGCCACCATCGTGCAAAAGGTGCGCCGCCGCCGCCCGCCGGGAGGCTGGGGTTCGTGAGGCGCACGCTTCCGCCACGCACGGCAAACGCGGCGCGTGTCGTGCTCCCCCTGCCGGGCCGTCCTCGAGGGACGAAGCGCGCCATCCCGACGGCCGTGCCAGCCGTCCCTCACGCACCGCGCGCCGTTCCCTGCTGGCGCCCCTTCTTTCCGCAGAGGAGGGCCCACCCTTTCGGCGCAGGGGGTGTTCTCCCGAAGGGTCTGGTCCGCCTCTTTTTGCGGCCCAAGCTTGGCTCCGCAAGAGCGTTTCGTCACCGCGTTTGGGCGCAGCGTCTGTCCTGCCGTCCCTCGCGCTCGTGCCGCGCAACAGGAGGCGGCCCCCGCACCGCCGGCCAGCGCACCACAATAGGGG